GGGAACAGGGGGTGGGGCTTGTTGCATGTGCCCGCCCCCTGGCCTCTTTACTGCCGGAGCTCCGCTCCTGTGCGCTCCTGCAGGAAATGACCCCTGGGTATAAAAATCCAATCTCTTTGTCTTCTTTTTCTTCGTACATAAGACTCTTTAATAAGCAGCCTGAATAGCCCATCTTAGCCCAAGCTCATTAGAGCTTGGAAGCTGTGAGGGGTGAGCCCTGTTCACTTCTTGGACAGGTGATGACCACGGACGGGACACCAGGGTTGCTGTGCAAAAGGCAGGCAGTGGCAAACCACCTCTGTGCATCTCTTGCCTTGAAAACCCCATGGTGTTGGGGTCACTGTGAGTTGGTTGTGACTTGACAGCAGAAAATTTTTACTGTTTATTTTGCAAGAGCTCAGCCTCAGGGGATTCAGGGGTGACTTCTTGCTTTGTTTGGACTTCGCAGCTGGAAACACAAGCTTAGCACCAGCGGTCATTTCGTAGGAAAAGAGGTGCAGGAGCTCATTAGCATAGCTCATTAGCATAACTTATTTGCATATTCCATACCCCCTGACATCACTGGAAGCTTGTCAGAAGGCAACACCCACCGCTCAGGCTCCACTGGACTGTTTTGGATTGCTAGCTATTGGGGGGGGAACGCGCAGATCTGCCCTCACAGAGGAGGGAGAGCTTGTACCTGAATAAAACTTTGTCTTAAAGATGCCACTGGACTGTGTTGGCCCTGGGGGGGGGGGGGACCCTCTGCAACTTACCTGGCTGCTTCTTGTTGCTGGGAGCAGGGGGCGGGGCTTATTGCATGTGCCCGCCCCCTGGGCTCCTTACTGCCGGAGCTCCGCTCCTGTGCGCTCCTGCAGGAAACGACCCCTGCTTAGCACCCTCGAACCTGGAGCTTGCCACTCAGAGCTTGGCCTCCTCAGTTAAGCCTTGGTCTCCCACATCGGGATATTTGGTTCATACAGCAGCGTTTGCCCAGTCACAGAAGCACAGTACTGAGTGCAGTAGCTAAATCTCCCAAGAAGCATATTGCAAAAAAGCTACACTTACATTTATTTTTCCAAGTCGGTCCAGTTCACATTCAGGTTGCAATCAAAAGAAGAGAAAGGGAAGCCTAGTCTAACGAGGACTTTCCCGATCTCAAACGGCCAGCTTGTCTGGCATCACGTGAGTGGGGGTATGAGGGCATTGTCCTTATAGAAAAGGCCTGCAGAGACCTGTGTCTCCATGGAAGGCCGTGTGCAGCGAGAGCAGAGGTCATTTCGGGGGGGATCGCAGTTCCCCCGGGTGAGGTGCAGGGGGCGGGGCACATGACGATGCCCCGCCCCCTGCTTCCGGCCGCCCCGCTTCCA